CAGCTCGGGCTGGACTCGAACCGCTGTTGCTCAGAGCTCAAACTCTTGAGCGAGCTCTTAACCAACTGAGCCACTCGGCCGGCCCAAGACAGCTGCTCTTGAGACAAGGTCACCAACAATCTCCTTGATAAAATCCAAAGAGCTTCTCCATCTCTCATCTAAGTGCTCTGCTACACGGGATACTGTTTTTCGCCTTCTTCTTAAAACGTCCTTTCCCCTTGCCACCATACTCTTCCTGGTTGCCCAGCTCTCTCTCTTCCTGCCAGCTGCTTTCCTGTCCCTTCCATGTTAGGGTTCCTCAGGGATCTGATCCTTCCTTGGTCCAATTGTCTTCTGATTCCATGGGCTCTCTCCCTGGGCAATTCCGCCAATGTCCACCTTTGATTTAATAAACATCTCTAGGCTGGTGAGTCCCAAATCTACTATAACTTAGGCCCAGCTCACTCTCCTGAGTTATAAATCCACAATCACCTGCCACCTGGACATCTCGAGTCTGCTGCTCTTTCAGTACCTGTGTCTCAGTGAAGAGTACCACCAGCCTCTCAGCTACAGACACAAGAAACCTGGGTGTCCTCCGAGTTCTCCAAGTTTGACTAGTCATCAAGCCCTGTATATGATACTTCTTGAGCAACTCTCAAATCAGATCCATCCTCTGGCTCCACATCTTTAATTTGGATTGCAATTATCTCTCACCTGGATTTCCATGACAGCCTCCTAAAAGATCTGGATTTTAACTGCCACTCATTTGCCACCATTCCCACCAACTAAAATTTCTGAAGTGAAACCACATTTTGTCATTTCCCTACTTCAGTGGCTCCCCACTGTTCTCTGTTGAAGTTTAAATTCCTTAGCAAAACCCATGAAGTCCAATCGTGTTTCATCTCTTGCCCTTATATGCTAGGAACCAGCATAACAAAGCACCTGCATCCCAAAAAAGCATCCTGCCCTTTCTCACCCTTGGGCCTTTGCATATTTTATTTCCTCCACCTAGAAAGCCCTCTCTTCCCACCTTACTTGTTCTTTGGGTCTCAGCCTAAACATCATCTTTCTAGGAAGCAATCTCTCGCTCAGCTGGATTAGCTGTTTGATTTTATAGCATCTCATGCTTTCTCCTATCAGGCTGTTTTTACACTTAAAATTACCTTTTTGGGGCTGGCCAAGTGGCTCAGTTGGTTAAGAGCTCACTCAAGAGTGTGAGCTCTGAGCAACAAGTGGTTCGATGCCGGAGCTGAGCTGTCACTGAGCTGCCTACAGGCGGCAGGATGGCTCAGCTAAAAAAAAAAAAAAATTATCTTGTCTCTCTTTTATAAACTCGAGTTTGGTGACCGTGTCTTGTTTGACAGCATATCCTAAGCATCTAGAAAGTGCTAGACACATAGTAAGTGCTCAACAATTGTCTGTTTAATGAAAAAGACATTTGGAAAGGAACATCCCCTGTATTGTAGCTGGTAATAAACTGTGTATTATTTCATTACCTGCCCTAAAAAGCTTATCGTATAAAAATGAAATAAGCTGATTCTGGAAAACAACTTCTTTAGGGAAATTTGACAGACAGGAGAAATTAATGTATCTTGAGAGGAGAAGAGCTCGTGGATGCCGACACGTGGCATTACCAATAGACCCATGTAGAGAAGCCCAAAAGGAGGGCAGGGAGCCACTAGCATCATTGCCTTGGCTCCTCACATAGATGGGATCATGTGACATGGCTGCTTTGGCACAGCTTCCATTTGTTCACTTTCCACCTGTCAGTGTAGCATTATAGAGAGCTCCGGGCTGAGATCTGGGTTATAGTGTTGGCTTTGCCCACTACCTATCTCAATTACCTTAGGCATTACTCCACTATGGATATTGCACTGCAAATAGCTAGCACACCTGCTAAAATGGTAAATACACAAGTTCTTACGTCTTTATTCATTCAATAAATACCTGTAATATAACTACTATGTGCCTGGTAGTATTCTAGGTACTGAGTGTACGGCACTGGATGAGACAGACAAGGTCTCGACTATCAGGGAATGAACTAGATGATTGCTAAGGTCTCTTCCAGCTCTGAAACTCTTTCTTTGACCAGGTGCAAATAAACAAGGGAGGCTAGTGGCAAAGCATCATGCTCTGGCCTCCTTCCCTCTGTGACCATGGGTAGGTCTTTAACTTCCTGGTGCTCAAATTCCTTACCTGCTCAATGAAGTCACCACCTCCTTGTCAGGTAGTACATGTGCAACATTTTGAATTCCTGAGATTAAGGCCAATTGTTTCTGGGATCTTATTTATTTATAATTAAGCAACTCTAAGCAGGTCCGGTACAAGTTATTAATGAGGAAAAAGACAAATGTTGTCTGAGGCAAAATTTGCATAAAATCTAATAAATGATTCTCTTAACTACAGTGTGGACCCTGAGGTCCCATGAGGGAGAATAAAGAACACCTCTTAGCTTTCCAGGTTTTCCCCCATCATGATATAAAACCTACTCCAATATTGGTAAGATAAATTTATATATGTCTGTAAAGACAAATATCCCTGAGATAAAGCATATCTACCATTTGCTTAGGAGAAATGGTTTTAGATTCCCTTCTTATAAAAAGTAATTTGACCTCTTTCCCTTATCCCCAATCCCTGAGACTTTGAAAGGATAAAGAAACCAATTTGGAGCCCTTTCAAAGGATTTATTTGCTAAAGAATTGCTTGAGGCCACCAATAAGATGAACTCAGGATTTCTGTGTTTAAAGGATTTTGCTCACTGCTTTATTTTTACAAGTGCTTCAACATTCAAAGAGCAATTCTATAGACATGCTGGCATGTCTAGAACAGGTTAGAAAACGTTAGAATCTATAGAATTAGATGTCTAAAAATAGGAAAAAAACCCTGAACATTTAAAAATTCCTCATCTGCACAGGTCCTGAGTTGAAATTATATTCATCTGCAAGAAAGAACTGTTTTAGGTCAGAAATGCTGGATTTAATAACTCCAGATCCTGACCTTGGACTTGACTGGTGAGGATCCCGTGCAGTGCATGAGTGTCAGTAGAGATGCCATTCAGAGGGCCAATTCCGGCACGTGTCTTACCTGGTTTGTGACGTTTTATAAATCTCTGAAACCCAAACCTCCTGGTTCTGTGATGCCAATTGTTTTAACCTAATTCTCAATGCTTTTTTAAAACAAATAAACAAAAAGTTTCCCTGTAAGATCATACATTTAAATATTTGTTGCTTGTGAATAGGTACAGAGAAACCAAGTATGGATGTGAATTAACAAGTCAGCAATGGAGCTGTGAATCTCTCGATGGCTATGTAAGCTGTAAGAAAGGTCCTTTGCTGGCTCTGCAGGCGCTGCGCACACCAGAGTGACCATCCAGGCCAGGTCAACCGGAAGAGGGTGTGAACCCCAGCAGCTGCTCGATGGGTTTAAATCGCCACTCATCTGCCTCCAGCTCTTCTACCAAACCAGCTAGTTTTTCCATCCGAGCAACTTGCTGATCTGTAACGAGTCCAGGAGGTAATATATAACACAGTCTCACGAAACAGTTACCAACCACCAACATGATTGGCTTAAAAATAATTTCTAGGAGTTTTCCCCTCAATATTCTAATAACGGGGTCTTATTCTATATTGGTCAGAAGACTTAATCTTAAAAAGTAGTAGTTATCCTCCATGCACAGTGATGTTTATAAGATCCTATGGTTACAGGCAATTGCCGCTTCCCCCCGACCTAATGCTTCAATGGAGAAATGGTCTGCTGGGGGAACACAGTTCCCTGAGGCAAGAATGAAGGCCTGGTGAGGCATGATGGAACAGAAAAGGTGCTGCCCGGATCTCAGAGTCCAGGTAGGTCATGAAGTATCACAGAAGTACTTGAAGATGAAGATGATGATGGTAACCAGTAGAGAACAGCAGTGGAAGGTTTCAGAAAGGAGAGGAAAAAGCAACACAAGAGGAGTGGGGAGCATTAACTCCCCTAGAAAACTAACCCTTTTGACTTTAACTTAAGCCTTAATGCGGATTTATGTCTGGATTAAGACTATAGAATGTTATTGCCCGCAGGTAGTTTAGAAAGTCCACTTAAATAGCCTTGCTGAATTTCAGGAGTTTGACAAGAGCACATGACCTTCCTGAATGCCCCTCTATACCCCACCCCACCCCAGTAAATTTATTCTCAGTTAAGTACACAACACTCATGTGCTTACCATGTTTCACCTGTTTAAGCGTAGATGCCACTTGATAGCTGAAAACAGATTCGCAGAGGAATCTCTCAGAGCCATCTACAGACAAAAGGAGAAAAAGTTTAATCTGCTCTAAGGGCTTTATGGCTCCTGTAAACCAAGTAAACATGTCCATTCTTTTCCTCGCTCTTACATTCAGGGTCTACTTTTTAGTGCTTACAAAGACAGCTTCTGTTTAATTTAGAACTAACACTGCTCTGCATAAAAGCTACTCCTATACCTAGAATATTAAAATAGTCCCTCTACTTGTTTAAGAGTTTAAAAATAGTGTTTAACAAAACAAAAACAAGAAACCTCAGTCTAATGTCCCGGTCAACATTCCCCCCTCCCAACCCAATAGTTTCTTAATGTTCTCCTCTTTTGTACGCGCGTATGTCAGGCAAACACTGACAGCTGACACATTTGGCCCTGTGACCCCGGTGCTATCAAAACACAAAAGTATACTGAAACTCAAAATCATTTTCATTCTAAAAAGTACAGCTGAGGGAAAAATAGCTGTTGTTGATTTTTAGTGTATCAAATTACATCACTATGACCATGTCAAAACACTGCTGGGAAATTTCATTCTGTAAACGCAAATTGTAACCTTGATTTTCCAACTGAACCAAAACACTGCAATTTGGTTGGCGATAAGAGTATAGTACAATTTCAGAACCTTGCATTGTACTGGTGCCAAGAACTGGCAACAAGAAGGTAGCTAACTCATTCACCATGGAACTTAGAAGATGATTGTGAAATATAAGCTAGTTTATGTTATTCCTTGTCAGGCAACAGCTGATACAGCAAAACATACCCCCAAAGACATAGAGCTCATGTAGGAAAATGGGGCTTTTAGAAGGGTAGCTCAAATCACGTAGAGAAGTTTCCTTATTGCAAAAATCCTAAAACAAATGGAGGCGAGGACACAGCTGTCTTTTTTTAGGTGGTAGTGCATGCCAGCACTACTAGGTGTCAAACACTCACCCATCAATCATGGGTTTGTGTGTCAGCTAGTATTAGGTGACAAGGAGTTAGGACTAACCATTCTGGCTTCATGCTGTTTCACATAAGGCCGACCTTATTTCCGAAGTTATGGTAAATAAGAAAAAGTATAGATATTGTGTCCAAATGGCTTGAATATACAATCAAGAGGGCTTCTGTCCAATACTATCTTCAAAATTGATGCAAAAAACCCAGAAATGAAAATACAATTATTTTCATATGAATCATATATTATTTTAAAATATAATTTATTTCATAAAGTGATATGCATTTTAGGTCAAGTGTTACATTCTCCGAATGCAACCTCTTTTCTACATAGTGTGCTATATGGGACAGGATCCTATTTCCTCCTCCCACCCCCATTCCTCTGGCTGAATAAGTCATCTGTGAGCAGATCATGCATCTGAGCAAAAAAATTTTATTTTCAATTAAATGAATATTATACTGTCCAGTTTAAAGACCTAGCTAAGCTAATGATATCACTGAGTTTTTTTTGATAACTGGGCAACAAACAACTATGAATTCCACTATGAGAAGATGGACCGTGTGAACATTGGATACCAATGATGCAATTTATTATGACTCTTGTGTGTATATATGCCAGTGTTCCTTATCCTATGCATAACCTTGCTTAGAGTCAAATTATAAGTCACGTTTTATTTTAGAAAGAACAAAGCATAGAGAATTAGAGTTCACTTCTCAGGGGGTTTAATCCTGAACTATCCTGAACTTTAGGATCTCACTCACACAAGGCAGTGGGGATTACGGACCATGAGGATCAGGCCAAAATGTATTTGGAAGCTCTGGGAAGTGCTGCCTTCCCCTTACATTCAATAACAGGTGCTATTAGGATAAAATGCTTAAATTATAGTATTTGCATATTTCCCTTGGTAATGAACTTCAAAGCAAAAGGATGCAGGCTAACCTTTCAAAAAGGTACTCTATATGCCTTTCTATATGCCGTTGCTGCTATCACTCTGCCACTGTATATGCCTATGGAACACACTTTTGCTGATTTGCAGCTCTGTTAACCACAAAGTCCACTGCATCTTAACTACATCCGATTAAATGTGATATCTGTTACCAATCTAAAGCCTGCAATTTCTCCAGAGAGGAGTCAGCTTAGGGCGATCTGTCTTCCATTTAGAAATTGTAATCAAACCCTTTGTAACACACCAAGTAGCAATACATCAGATTTCCTTTTAAGGGACAAGCAAAGGTTATAAAGAGTTAAAAGTTCAGTAAATTGCCCAAATCTAACACCACTGCAACTCCAATAAATAGGATGCTAACAAATTCATTTAAAAGAAAATTATCTCACAGCAGGAAATCAGACAATGTCAGATAATTTACACTTCATTGGCCTACACTATCACTAAAATTCAGCCATTTCTGGGCTGGAAGGCAGTGCCTAATTTGCTCATTAATAACTGGGTGAGGACAATCTTAGCCACGGGCAGGAGAATGCTGAAAACTGCTGTATACTGCTTATGTGAGGCGTCTGTTATCAGAGAGTAGGTGCACACAAAGGTTAATTCACAAGGTTAACTACATGTTATTTGGGCTTATTATCTTAGACTTAGGAGGATGAAAGATCAAGTTGAACCTGTTAAGATTATAAATGCATCCAACCTTGATTCCTGATTGTTTTTGTTCCTTACTCTGAACAGGCAACTCTTCCTACTCTATTTTCATATTCAATTAAAACACTAAGAAAAATGGTCAGGTACAGGTGTGTTAATTGCATAATAGTACCACCTATATAGATGGTAGAAGATGCTTCCAAATCTAATATATTTATTAATTCACATTTAGAAATACTCTTTTCAATTTAACATTCTTGAGTTAACCAGGATAGTTCAGGGGATTACCATCTCTAATTTTTCATAGTCTGTCCTTAAAGTGTAAGCATCTTTAAATATGGGTGAAACTTTAAGCCTAAGACAAAGAATCATAACTGTGCACTGTGAATTTAAACTTAATATAAATTCATCCTACACTAGAAAGCCAACACATTCCTTCATAAAGCATATTAGGATGGAATAAAAACAGACAGAACTATAACATGTTAGAACATCAACATTCAGACTAATCTCAGAAACCTTTCTTCTTTTAATGTTTCTAAGTAATCTGGTGTATTCTGACAAAGAATGCTGACAGCTTTGAGACTAAGGAGGTACCTCCAGTATTAAATTCCTTCTGTAGCTAGAATTTAAATGACTTCAATCTCAGAATCTATTGTTAAACATTGATTCCTTTTCTGCAGCTACAAAACTCATTAAGCAATTTAAATGCCTCCAACTTTTTCATTTGTTTTGTGAGGAACTTCCTTAACACCAGGTCACTGCTGCATATAACTGAAGTCATAATATATTTTTAGTGCCAAAAATGATAAACAAGGCCCCAATTGTTCACTCCCTCCAGACTCAGTGATACTAGCTTGAGTATTTAGTTAACACAATTGAAGAAAATGAAAAGCTAAAGACAGTAGTACATACACCTCAGATGTATCACTAACTATGCTACCTGGTCATCTACTTCACTAATTATGATTTGAACCAATTCTAGAAAGCCTTAAGGTCCCAGTCTTTCTATGTTTTACTGTAAAAATGATTCTTCTGTTTGCTCTGGCTTACCTCCAAAACTCTTTTTATTATACCTGATATAAGTGAATAAACTTATAAGAAGCCAACTCCTATAGTTTGTATCTTTCTCAGAGACATTTCCAGATTAAATGTACTTACTGAAATTTGCAATATTTAAAGCAAAAAAGATCTATAATTAAGCACAAAAGTGTTAGAATCAAGTAGATTTTGAATCCTTAATAGGTTCTTTGCTGATTTTTTTCAAAGAATGAATAGTTTAATAATTAAGGACCATTTTCATGAGAGTCCCCTGGATGTTAGTCAAAAACAAAGGTTCCTGTGCTGCACCCTGCACTAATTCAGAATCTCTAAGGTGGGCCGGAAATGTGCATTTAAATAAGATCGTCAGGTGATTTTTATGCTCCCTATTAATAATTTATTGACATATCTCCTCAGGTGACATGAATCTGATGAATTCCAGATACCAGTGCTGTTTCACGCTTAAAGCCTATGCCCTGATCTTGCCCATCCAGTTTGAAAATGTGTGCTGAATAAGATGGTGGGTAACAGCATGCCAAGTTCAGCTCCAGTGCTGGAAAAACCATATAGCACTGTCCTGCAGTGGGCCAGTACAGTCTTCTTCACATAGAAGTGTATTAGTTTTGATTTGCTCTCAGAACCTCTTTGATGGGGTTAACCTGTAAATCAACTACATAAGAAAAAGAAAAGACCTACTATAACCATAGGGAGACGGATAAAGCAAACGAACAAGAGGTCAAGAGAATTCTTGGTTCCTGTGTTGACTTTGTCTTTCATGTGAGCAAATCACTTTACTGTTTCTGGACCTAAATAACTCTAGATGACCTCTTTGATTTCCGAAGTTTTTTCAGCTCCAAAATTCTGATTCTGGAGAGAGATTTGTGTTTTAAAGATATTATTTTGAAATGGGGACAAAAGATGAAATGTGGAGCTGAAATCAGGGCAAATTCATCTCTAACCCACTTAATAGCTTCTTTACAATTAACATTCATTGCAGGTCTGAAACCAATTATTCAGCAAAAAGCAGCATGAGATCACCTTCTAACATCTCTCCAGCTCCTTTGGGGTAGGTGAAAAGGGCTTTCCGTGGTGGGGCAAGGTCTGAGACACTGAAACCAGATCCAGTGACAGAACTTCCACTGACCCCACCAGCTGAGGAGGACGAGGAAGAAGCAGCCATTTCCTCTCTAGTAGAATTCTCACTTCACTACAGAGAAAGAAAAACAGCAATTGGCAAGTTTATGGGAGTGAGATTGACATTTCATTCTAGTTGCCATAAAAGCCAGCATTAGTTTAGTAAAAAATTACCTACCCTTTTTTCTACCCTCTCCACTCCCACAATCTTTTATTGATGCCTCAGGCTAACATGTCACTCAGGATTTTAAGTGAAGATATGTTTATTCTTAGTTTTTCTACTTAAAACACTATTTCCTACCATTAGCAAACTGTTTATGTTGCTTGGGATTGACTGTGGGTGATTTATGGGTTATGAAGGGGTGACAGGACAGTGCCAAGGTAGCAATTTGACCGAGGAAATAAATTATATGAGGGTAAAACAACCATGCCTCATAGGACAGTTTGTCTTGGATACATCCTGACCAAGCCACACCAGAAATTCACTTAGAAAATTTTCCAAATAAAATTCCAGAATAACACTGTGTTCTGTTCCCAAGGAAGAGGAATTGGTTAGAAAACACATATTGGCCCTTTCATTAAAAAATTAAAAAAATTTTTCATCCAAATGCAATATGTAAGTTGATCACTTGGTGGCGTCTCAAAACTAGAACAAAATAGCTCAGGAAGTGATCTCAGATTTCATGGCCTATTAGGAATAGAGCAGCTGTGGTGTTTAATACTGTCATATCAAAAAATCAGAAAGTCCAAATGTAGATGTGAAAATCTATACTGAATACATGACTCCTTATGAAAGTTTAAAACAAAAATACTACTTTTGCCAAAGCAGCTTATACCATACATTTGCAAGTGTCTAAAAAGTGTGTTTTCTTTAAAAAGTGGTCTAGTACTGGGCTAACAACTCTCTGTCATTATGGAGATGTTCTAATGTTCTATTTCTGCACTGTCCAATATGGTAGCCACTAGCCTCATGTGGCTATTAAGCTAGTGTGATTGAAGAGCTGTATTTTACATTTTATTTGAAGTCAATTGATGGCTAATGGTTAATTCATGTTAGGAAATTTTAGTTCAATTAAAAAAATGATAAAAATGACTTTAAACTGATTTTTAAAAAATGACTTTTTAATGATCAGAGAGAATTTTAGCTGAATTTTTTATTGTTAGTTGAAAAATGAAAACGTTTGTTATAAAAAGCACTTATTTTTGAAAAAATAGACAAAAAGAGGAAATTCTATGCAGATATAAATCCTATATATACATAATCCAGTTTCCTAGCAAGGAAAATGATATACTGTGCATTTCTGAAAATCTGGCTGTTCTGTTTCCTTAATTTTGTGATGATGACTTAAGACTGTGAGGGTAGCAGAGCTGTTTCTGGTTTCATTATATGTCTATAAGTAATACTGATTAATATTGAAGTGGGATATGAGAACAGTAAGGCAGCCGCTATAATTAGAATGTCAGCCTATTTAAAAATCAAATTGACTAATGACCTTTTCAATCTTGTATTAGATCATCTTTCCTTTTTTCCTTTGAGCTCTGTAACTTTGCAAATTATACTCATATTTATAGAGGCAACAACTTTTCAAGTTAGATTCATATCTAACCCTTTGGACCACACTAGCTCAAAATATAGCTTGACAAGTTTTTAAATGCTCTTTAAAAGGAACTTAAGCAGTAATGGACCAGGTCCAAATTTCTAAGTGGATTCCTGCTGGGATCTAAATAAAGTATGCAGACAACTTAGGTATCTTTTGGAGAATAGCACACTCCTATTTTCCATCAGTTCAGAATAGAACCCACTGTAAACTGTTTATATATCTCACCTAAGACTTAAAACTAATCTTCCTACACCCTGTTATATGTTTTATTCAGTTGCAAATGCAACGGATACTTTATATTTTGAAATCAAGTTGCTCAGCAGAGCACTTAAGCTACTACTGCCAGAGTGAGGACAGCTATCAAAGGCTTGATACAGTGTAACTTCTAAACAGAATATAATCAAAGAAATTCCCTTTCATCCCATTTTCTTCCAAATTCAGAAGTACTATCATTCAATACACAAAACAGCCAGGGTTGAAAACTGGAGTGCAGAATTAGCACAAAACTAACTGTAACACAAATAGGCAGTTTTCTGCTGAGGTGGAAAGATACACCTAAGTAACTTCTAGCTTTAAAAATTTAGGTTAAATTTTTAATGCTATCAGCAAGCAGGTGGTAACAGGAGTTTAAAGTGAAACTAACAATAAGCCCTAGTTTGTAATTGCTCTATAAAGGCAGGCATTCTGCTTGGTCTATACTAAGCAGCTGTTGATTTAAATAAATGTTTGCTACATGAATTAAACATTTCACAGGACCACAAGATTCATTCAAAGTCATCAAATCCAACTCCCTCATTTTATAAATGACAAAACAAAACTGAGGTTTAGAGACTTTAGCTTATTTCCTGTGACATTTTTCAAACAATGGCTTTATTGGCATGTCATGTGCCATGTGAGAGGTGAAACAGCACAGTGGTTAAGAGCTCATATTCTCAAGCCTTTCAGCCTGGATTCATGTCCAGGTTTTGCTACTTAACTTGCTGTATGACTCTGGACAAATCACTTAACCTCTCTGTTGCTCAGCTGGTCTCATCTCTAAAATGGGGATAACAGTACCTACCTCAGAGGTGTCATGAAGGTTAATATAACTAAAGCATTTGGAACAGCTACAGGCACCGTAAACACTTAAAAATGCTTCCTCTCCAAAATCTCTAACAGATATTTATTCTTGAATATTTTTTTCCCTATGTAGATCCCAGCTTTTCATACTTACTATGTCCTAACACACTCATGGGAAAAGTTTTAATTCTCTCCATTTGGTATTCAGTCACTGAGCTCCTGCAGAGGAAAGAGTCTGCTCAGGAAGAGGGAAAATGCCCTCCATTAATGTACTTCACACATTCATTTTAAGGTTCATGACCCAAGGAAGAATTCCTTGATCCAGGCCTAGCACAGCACCTGGATCACATTTCTTGAATGAATGATGAAGAAATGACAAAACACAGGGCTAGCAGCTCAGCAAAGATTATGCAGGGGATAGAGAAGTTTGGTGTCATAAGGGTTTGTCCACTGTTTTCTTTTTCTTCCTGATTCTGCAGATCTATTTACACAACTCTCTCTCCCACTAGGCTGCCAGGCCCAAGGTAGGTGGCTCAGTAAGATTTTGTTGAATGAATAAATATTGTTGAAGTAACCTGGAGTTTGGCTTTATCAGGGTAGCTAGGATTATGGCAGTAGAGATTCTTATAGGAGAGTAGTGCTATTTTGGGGGACACAGCATGGCTGCGGCCACGCTAAGATGATTAAATATTTATTCATGTACAACAGGGATGACCTCGTATTCATAAACTACTTTCCTTCCTAGCATATATCCATTTTGTTAAAAAGAAGCCTTCCTTTTGAAAAAAAATCTCCTCTCCACATGACACTGAAAGAGGTACGCTGGTATACAATGGCAAATTATTAACAATCATTAAATTCCATCAACAAATCGTTCCACTTAAACAGCTGGATTACCATTCAAATAGATGTTGCAGCTAAAACCAGGTGTGGTAGAGCAAAAAGGACTGGAGACGGGAGGGGTCAGAATGCCAGCGGTTCTCAAGTTTACTTCAAGCCACAGTTTCCCCTCCTCCTCAACTCGGTCCCAAAAGGGGCGACGCCATTGGCGCTGTATCATCGCGCAAGCGCCACCCCGTCCGTCCGCATGCGTACTCAGTCCGCAGCGGCCTGAGGAAATTTCCTTACACTCCCTCAGCAGCAGGCTCCTGTTTCTCTACCTATCTACTCCATTTTACTAGTCCCTGCAGGTAGGATCCCAGGGATCAGCCTTTCCACCAAGCTACCGAAGGTCCCTGAGCCCTCGGCCACTTACCTCAGCGGTTTTAGCACTTTTTTCCCTGCAGCCCCGCCCCCAGGGCCAGCCGCAGCCGCCGCGCTGACAACGACTAAGACGGCGGCGTGCTCGCGCCCGTGTTGTGGTGGGCGTGGCCGCGGCGGGGAGGCGCGGAGGACGCGGTCCTAGGGACTACTTCCGGGTTTTTTGCTTGGTTTACCTGCGGCCGCGGAGTTCTTTTTTCTTCACTGTCTGGTGTACTCGTTTTTTTTTTTTTTTTTCCCCGCTCGCTTTTATGATTCGGGGCTTTAGCTTCCCCTACGACATTGCAGGCTTTCTGCTTTCTTCTCCTCCAATCCATCACGAAGCAGGGTTAAATTGGTTATTTCCCCCTTCCTTCTGAGCAATCTCGTAGCCCAGAGCCGGAAAAGAAAGGCAGATGAAGAGTCCGCTGTCTCTGAGGCGCCTCTCTTCTTCCAGAGCTCCTGGTCTGAGGGCCTGACCTTGAGATTAACGTCTTTTTTTTCTTTTTTTTTTTTGAGAGGTCCTGGGGGGAACTGGGTACTAGGGTGTAATGTCAGTAAACTTGCTAATTATGCCCTCTCCATTCAAGTCTATTTTCCTTCTATGTTGTTATTTCTCACAACACGAAATCGCTCCTTGGTTCTATAAGCAAAGTACTAATTTAAATGACTTACTTGCTGAGGGTTGGACTGAATATTAGTGTATGTATTAAGGGTTGATCTGTTTTGTTTGGAATTCTTAAAGCATTTTGGGCTTCAAAACTGCCCCACCTATGTGAAAGGAACATTAGTTGAACTTAACAAAAGTCAGCCCATAAGCAAACCTTGTTTCCTGAATTATTGATTCATTAAGTAGTGACTAAAAGCTTGGCTTCTCTGGTGTGCAGTTGGTTGGGCAGTGGCCTATAGAAATTGGATTTAAGAGCCATGTTGGTTAAGTCATATTTTAATTGTTTTCATAGGCAACTGGATCTAATTGTAGGGTGTATATTTTAAGCACCTCTGAAAGTACTTAGGGGCTTTTTTTCCCCTGAAGGATAAGTGTATTAAATATCCCCAATTCTCTTAATTATGCTGGATAGAAAGGGTGACAATTGCTTAGGTAAACACAGAAGTTTGCATTTTACTCCTTTTAGGTTAAAGTAATAAATAGACCATTCTGTTTCAAAATCATGGACAGTCTGTATATAAAGGGCTCAGTATCTTATAAATTACCTTTTTTGGAGTGCTGAATAGTTTACAAATTGCTGTCTAGAGTGAGCCGGGAATGGAATAGTACAATGGAAAATGCATCAATGGTCTTAAAACAGCTTACTGATAGGGCTAGTCTAATGGAAACAGTGCTGCCTTTGCTACTATGAACTGATGCCCAATTATGTCCTTTCAAGGCCTACATAATGATCCATATAATAGAGACAGGGTTTTTATTTCCAATTAAAACAAAAGGTAAGGTGATGATTTATTTTTCAGGATTTCACTGGAGAATTATTTGGAGAAAGTATTATGGAAGTTCTTCGCCCACAGCTTGTAAGAATTGATGGACGGATTTATAGGAAGAATCCTATTCAAGAACAGACTTACCAACATGAAGAAGAGGATGAGGACTTCTATCAAGGTAATCCTAATTTCTCTTTGGTCAGATAAGTAAAATGGGGCTGGCCGAGTGGCTCAGTTGGTTAAGAGCTTGCTCAAGAGTTTGAGCTCTGAGCAACAGCGGTTCGAGTCCAGCCTGAGCTGAGCAGCCGCTGAGCT